TTGCTAAATTGCCTAGCATCGTCAGAGGGTTTTTGTTTTGTTTTTTTGAGACTCTCTCTTACTAAATCACTACTTTGCTGACTAGGCTTGAATTTGAAGTCCTCCTGCTTGATCTCCCTGAGTGCTAGGATTATAGGTACGCACCACCAGGTCCAGCTCTGTTGACATATTATCAAGCCAGTTGATTCTTTCTTTAGTTATAACCAGTCTAGTGATCTTTATCTGCTCAAGTCACTATTCACGTCTCTTATAATCACCATCTCTGTAGATACGAGATTTCTGATTTTAGTTTTTCCTAGAGCCTCATTCATCTGCTTTTTTTTTTTTTTTTTACAGGATTTTTGTGTGCAATTTAGGCTGGCCTAGAGTGCACTGTGTAGCCCAGGCTCGCTTCAACTCGTGGTGATCCTCCTGCCTCAGCCTCCAGAGTGCTAGGATCATAGGCATGTGCCACCATACCCTGCCTTATTCATCTGCTTTGTTTCTTCCACTGTTATTATGTCAGAAAGTCCAGGTGGATGTCTTTCAACTTGTTCTACCTCATTGTCCCTGTGTTTGCCTTTGGTGAGCTGGAAATCTGGAGGTAAATCTTAAGTGTCTTCTCATTTTCTGTTTTTTTCTAGTTTGATTCCTGGGTTGATACTTGTAAATTGCTTATAGCAGGCAGCTTTATTTCTAGTATTTAGAACCTTTAGGAAACGACTACCTGTCAGAATGGGTGTCTTCCAGTTGTAGTTGGCTTCTGAGTCTGTTGCAAGATCCTACCTCTTGGGCTGGCCAAATGGCTTAGTGGATTAAAGCACCTGCAAGCAGGTGCAGGGGCCAGGGGTTTGATCCCCAGGCCTGCTGAGACAGTGACTGAGACTCGGTGTGGTGGCGCGCACCTGTGATCCCAGCACTTGGGAGGCTATAAACAGGTGGATCACTACGAGTTCCATCTGGTAGTGAGACCCTGAACACACTGTAGACCCTGCCCTAAAATGAAAAAAAAAAAAGATCCTACCTCCTGGATTCATTGGGACAAGAAACTGCTGTTGCCCAGTTTTCTTTCTTTTTTTTGCTCAGTTTTCTTGGTACTGGCTGATAGTATTTTTTATGACCCTTAGGCAGTCTCAGTCTTGGCATACTAGGAAGAACACAGATTAGAACAATTAGGTCACCTTGGCTACTTATAACACAACCAACAGTGACAATAGCATGAAACAGCCTAGAAAATGACAAACTGGCAACTATTAATTTACCACCTTTAACTGTGTGAACTATATTTGTGGTTATATAACAAAATCTAAAATAAGACAGAAAAAGGAGCTGGGGAGATGGCTCAGTGGAATAAGTGCTTACCTGGCAAGCACAAGGGCCTGAGTTCAATCCCCTGTTCGGCCAAAATAAATAAATAAATAATAATAATAAATAAAATAAGCCATAAAAATTGTATACAGTAAATAAATATGCCCTCAGAATTGTGATTTTACTCTCAAGGGAGAAGATTTAAAAAGGGTTAAGGAGAAAGGTAGAGACATATGAGGAAGAGATTATAAGCAAGGCTGGAGGACAAAGGAAGATTATGTGAACCTTGGGCACATGGTGAAGAAGACAGGAGGGCCAGGGAGATACCTTAGCAGCATAAGTGCCTGACTGGCAAGCGCAAGAGCCTCAGTTCAATCCCTGGCACCAAAAGAAAAAAGAGAAAAAAAGAAGGGGAAGAGAAGGAAAAAATAAAAATAACCAAACAACAAAAACCAGAAACCACATTCACACTCACATAAAAACAAGAACAAACAATCCAGAAAAAACAAAACAAGAAAGAAAAACCAAAACAACAACAAAAGCTCAGTTCAGGGCCTGTTACTTATTACTGGTAGACAGAGGCGGCATAAGGAGCCCACATCTGTATTGATTCCCAGCAAGCCTGAACCTTAAGTACCACTCAAATTCAGGTTGAAATCTGATCTGTTCATCCTGTAATCCACTCCTTGGGTCTCCGGGTGGTTTAAAACTGGCTTCCTGACCGCCAGCGGACCAGAACTCCCTTCTGCCCTGCCCTGACACTGGGAGCAGCTAGTGCGAGCCCGCCTGCAGCTGCCGGAGTGCTGAGCTCAGCTGGGCCCTCTCCAGGGCGGCCGGCCAAGTCCTTCTCCGAGGGGTCCTCTGAACCCGAGCAGCTCACCAGCTCCCGCAGTCCGCTGTGTCGCAGTGATGCTCCCCTAGTGCACGTCTCCCTGGAAGCCTCTGGGTCCCCAGCAGTCGGGTGTTCAGCTGCCGCACCCACACAGTAGGTAAGGGGGCTCAGCGAGACGGCGCAGCTGCCACTCCTACTTGCGCGCCGTCTTTCTCTTGGCGCTCCCTGTGGACTCCAGCTTGAGCTTCACATCGTTAACGGGTACCGGGGATCCACTTCCCTCCGCTCTTCCTCACATTCTTGTGTTCAGGGCCTGGATGCCAAGTCACAGAGGGGCTGTTTCCCCGTTGTTCACTATCTGCCATCTTCCTGGAAAGTCCAACCAGTCTGAGGAGCCCACCAATGGCATTCCTTTCTGTTGGAGATTTTGATCTCTTGATTTTCCTTTTGGTTCTTAATTTTTATCTCTCTGCTTACATTACCAATCTGATTTTGCATGTTGTCCATTTCTTCCATTAGACTCAACACATTAAATTCAGTTTGTTAATTCCAAAATTTCTGCCATATATGAATCTGGTTCTGCTGTTTGCTCTGTCTCTTTGGACTATATTTTTTGCCGCTTAGCATCCCTTGTAAACATTTTTTTTTTTTTTTTTGCGGTACTGGGAATTGAACTCAGATCCTTGCGCTTGCCAGGGAAGCACTTATTCTACTGAGTCATCTCCCCGGCCTCCTTGTAAACATTTTTTACAGAAAGTCAGACATAACATATTAGGTAAAGCATGTGTTTTATGTTTATATGGTTGGAATTAGGTTGGTTTCCTACTTCCTGTTGCTATATACTTATTGGTTTTTTTTTTTCAGAAAATTAAACATTATTTTTTCCCATAATTTTATTGAGAAACAAATAGCAATGAGACAGTTTCAAACCAAATTAGTAGGACAGTTTCAATAATTAACACATTGCACACATTCTTCCTAGTGGTTATTTGCTGTACAAGATGCGGACTTGATATCCTGTTTACAAACACCATTAGAACAAATCCCTCTATTCATTAAGAGAATGTAACTATATATCTATCCTAACCACTTTGAATACACAGATACAAAATGGACATTCATCTGTATCCCCTTTTTTGGTTAAGTTCCATCATTTAAACATTATAGGTGTGTAAACTCTGCAAAATATTCTAAAAGAGTTCAGTAAGTTGCTTTTTTTTTTTTTTTTTTTTTTTTTTTCCGAACCGGGGATTGAACTCAGGCCCTTGTGCTTGCCAGGGAAGCACTTATTCCACTGAGCCATCTCCCCGGCCCTGTTGCTATATACTTGTGATCTTCCTGCCTCAGCCTGCTACAGTGCCAGGATGATAACATGTAATGTTGTGAGTTCATAATCAATATAGGAATCCAAGTAGCCAATGCAAATCTGAAGGTTTTTATTAGCTGAGCTCAGCCACCCTCAGCACAGACCCGTTTCAGAGCCTAAGTGAGCAGTGCTGACCGGAAGAGGGCGTGTATATAGAGGGAATATGCAATAGATCTTGCTTGTCAACCACATTAGCACCCAGCCTGCCTGTCCAACAGATTTGTTTCTTGCTACACATCTGGCTACTTTTTTCCTGTCATTGTTTAGGGTCAGCAGTTTCTCAGGGTATATTTTCTCCATATGATAGGCCTGTTTTTACAACTCGGGCCAGCTGAAGTTTTTTAGGGTCAGCAGCTTTCTCAGCATATATTTCTTCTGTATGGTAGGTCTGTCTCGACAACTCTTCCAAAAATAGGGTCAGCTAGAGTTTACCATGGCAACACCTATGCTAAAGGTTTGGGTTTAGGCCATCACAGTAGCACCTCACTTGGCTGAGCACTTCTGACTAGGTTTGGGTTGCTTGTTT